CCCCGGGTCCTTCTCTGCAGAGCTGCTCTCCAGTTTTTAAGCCACTTCCATCTTCCCATTTTCGACAGAAGAAGCCCAGAAGATAGGTGTAGAATAGTTGCCCGTGTTTGATATGGCTGAAGTCGAGTGGTTTCCTGGCCTGCATTTCATGCCTTGTGCTCCCCATAGTTAGAGATATTCCAGCCGTCCACAGGTGATGGAAAGGGCTGTTTACATGACGCACGGAAGCGTCATCTTCTCGATTTCCTGCACTTGCTCCATTCACCGTATTGCCTTCATCTTGCGTCGTGTTTTGGCCGTATAAGCTTATGTGTTATGTGATGTCTTACACTCTATAATGCATAACATGCTACTGTGTTAATTCAGCCAGGGAGCTGAGTAGGAGATAAACTATCTGAATCCCCAGTTTCAAGCTTTTTTTGGCAAGGTGGTTTGTTAATGATTAGTCTCACCCATTCTGGGAAATCGTGTTGAGCTTGGGTCTTCAACTAGCCAGCGTTGTTTCAGAAATCCCAGTTAGCTGCTTTGATAGGCCATTCCTTGGCACCTCAATTCATCTGGAAAATCTCCTCCTTTAGTGCTTTTGGCAGTATCTAGAGCAGGGAAAATGGAAATGGTAATTCCATTTCTCAGTGGCAAAAAAAAAAAGCTTTTTCACAGAATCACAGAATCATAGAATCGTTAAGGTTGGAACGGACCTCTAGAAATCATCTAGTCTGTTTTCCCTTCAGTATCACAATTTTAAGGGGAGCTACCAGATTTTACAAAAAGTCACTGCATCATTGCTTTATCATTGCCCGAATACGGTAAAATTAAACTACTTTTGTATATTATAACTTTGAAAGCCATTCTTTCTAACTAGATATGTCCTTTTTATAGTTGTCTTGAGTGAAAGGATTAGAAGTGTGAGTAGAAATGGAACATTTTATAATGTCAAACCTCAACTTTATTTGAAAAATTTTAGCAAAAATATTCTGAGAATTTTAAGGTTATAAACCAAGAAGCTTTAAGAGTCCTTTTTACAAATGCAAATGCATACTTGATACACGTATATATATATATATATGTAATGTGTGTGTATGTATTTTTATATATATATATGTATATATAACTCTTAGAGAAGTGTTATTTTGTCTTGCAGCTAAATAGGAGACAAACTGAAACCTTCTACCCTAAACCATCCCCATTACAGTCCTGCATGTTGATGATATGGATAAAATATGTCAACACAAAATCTAACGTTTTCCTCTTAACGATGCCTAGCCATACTGGTTAATCAGAGAAGATAAAAGAGTAACCTCTTATAATTTTAACAGGACGGACATTTCCGAAGAAGGGTCAGACGTGTGTGGTGCACTACACAGGTAAAGCATGTTCCAAATATTCTCTTAAAACCAACTACTTGGCATTCAAGAGCGATTTGTCATTTCAAACCTGTATTTTTGTGTTGTTCATAATCCATTTAATTGCACTCCATTGGGTTTCCTGAATATTTGACTTCTCTTGGAGCAGTTCAGACTATAGAATATAGATATACCTGCTAGTAGCTTTGCCAAATATAATGTTTAATGGTGACAGGTTCACAGATGAAATCGTGGGCCTGATTCTTGAAGCCTTTAAAACCAGCTAATGAAATCAAGCATGAAACAGCAAAAAATGCCAGGTTTATAATTTTCCAGCCTCTCATATTGATGCAGAGAATTAATGATTGTATATGTGTGTCCTTGTGCTGGCAGTAAAATTCCCTCCAGTTTGAAGCGATCAATATAAGGTCTATTTAACACCTGCTTTATGGACATGTGTGAATCTTAAGTGTTGAGGTAGGTAATAGAGCTATTTACAGTGCAGCTTTACTCCTAGGGAAAATATCCTTTAAATCAATCTGTAAAGTAATGTTTTGTATACTTATGTAAACTGTCAAATGAATGCAAAGACCTCTGTGGCCCGAGTACCCAGCTGTGAGCTTCACACCACAAGCTGCCATTTTATTTAGTGTTTTCCTTAAAATGGCACAATCTCGGGGAGCTGGGAGTTGACTGATTTGGACCAAGTCATTTTGGACCTCCAGCATTCTGCATTATAGCCAAATAATCAATGATAACTCTCACTTGTTTTTTTTCATAAAGAATGTTAACCAAATCAACCTATTTGTATTTTCAAGAAGCTTTTTGACATAGTTTTAATAATTTATATATATATATTTATATATTTTAATAATATCTCTCCTAAGAAGGTTACAGGAGAGAATTAGTGCCCTGGCTTGGGGTATAGGAAAGAAGAATTAGGTTCAAGTTCCTATTAATTTATCAGGATTTTTGTTTCGAGAATTTCTAATTTGATTAAGAGTAATAGGGAGGTGAAGGCAGGTCCTCTATGCCAGGCAGCTCTCACAGACATTTGTTTTCGTCTCTTAGATCTGAAAAGAGATGTTTTGAAGCCATTTTTTTTTCTTGTGAAGATGCAGAAAGATGTGTTTCTGTTCCAGCATGAACTTGAAAAGTTTTCATAAAACAAAATTGACCTCCAAAACCTCCTACTCCTGTAACTAACCAGAGATAAATATAACCATCAGAACAGAAATAAGCAAAAAACCTGATAGATGGCAATAAAACTGATAGCTCAGGTCTGTGGCTCCCACAAACTACAATTCTGATGGATAACTTCAGAGAGAATGTGAATGATGAATATGGAGAGATAACAAGATGCTGTGTACTTTTACTGATATTAGATAGCTTTGATAAGGCTATCCTAAGCTGGCTTTTGATATAAGAGACTTCATGAAATCAAATTAAATGAATCTGTAGCCCAAACTGTGCTGCTTCTGTATATCTCGCTGTTGGTGCCATGCAGCCTGTCTAACTCTCAGATTAGAACAGACAGAAAAAAGTTTATAATCACAATTTCAGTGCTGTTCCAATGCTTATGTGGTCTTCAGTGGTAATATTTTTAAAGGAAGCCCACAGATAGTGGGTAAAGTGATTTCTGCCTATGGTCTATAAAACATTCGGGAAAAAGGAAATATAAATGTCAAGTCTTAAAACTATTTTATCTGACTACTGTATAACTTCTTTTTATGCCAATGCGACTCCAGTTATGCTCAAGATTAATCTTGAAATGATTTCTGTCATATTTATGTGATCTTATTATGATCTCCCAGTGCTTAATGTTTATCCTCTGTGTCTGCTTTGACATTCTCCTCTGAGTCTGCCTTAACAAGCTGAGTTTCAGAGACATCCTGAGGGATATCTAGAATATCTATTTTGTGAGCTAAAATGGGATTTAGGAAAAATTAAGGCACTTGGGTGCAAAGAAACAATCCAGAAATCCTGCTTTCCAAGAGCTGCTCAGTCCTTGGGAGCGTGGAAAACCCAATTTGCTCCGTGTACAGTGAACATGGCACCCTGAAACGAGGCACAAATACCCGCGCTGAAGCATCCCAGCCTGGGAAGGGAACCGGGCATTGAGCTGACCCTGTAAAATGAAGACAGAAGGCACTTGTATCCCCAGAGGAGCCTGGCCTCACTGGAGTGCTCTGCATCCAGCCCAAAACAAAATATTTACAGACACTTTCAGTCAGAAACACAGCCCAAAGGAACCCATTTTAAGTGTAATAACTAAACTGTTACTTCAGATATGGCCAACCTGCATTCAGGTCCCTTTGCCAGTGCAGAGGCTCACAGCTGTATTTCCCACATCCTTAAAACCATAAGTGTTATAGTCTCAGGAAAAAAAAAAAAAGCAAGCTGTAAATTAATGTAGTTTACGTTGGACATAGAGCAGTTACAAGAGCCAGGGTGAAGAGAGGGAGCAAGGAAAAGAGAGTAATTGGTTTAGGCAGTCATGCAAGCCTTGAAAGAGTTGTATTCCAGTCCCTGTCTTCAGGATTCGTTTTATCCTTTGCTTACCAGTGATTTTCCCAAACAGTGGGACGTAGTCTTGATGGCTTCATAAGCCAGGTAGCTTCCTGCAATGGTCCTACCAAGTGACCCACTGTGTGTGTGCAATGCAGCCCCTCAGCACAAACGCAGTTTCATGTTTCCCGTATGGGCTAGATTTGTTGAGCATGAAGAGAAATGCTGAGCATTTTGAGCATTGCCTGCCTACTCTGTATTCAGATCTTGAGAGTTTCCAGCAAAGAGGGGCCTAGGAAGGGCTTATCTAGGCCAAGGTTTGGAGAGAACCAAAGTGGACACCTTCTGTAGACCCTAGGCAAATAGTCTTGTCCATTCATCCTCAAGATGTTATGATTTATACGTCCTCAAGGTTGGTGTGCTCGCAAAGTAGCTTCTACTCTGATGACACCACGTGCTCCTGAGAAGTGGGAAATGGCAACTAGAATCTCAAGGTGGAGAAGAGTAATAGAGTTTTACAACTTTGTGTCTGTGCTCTATCAGGCTGTTACATGGTAACTTTGCAGTCTTTGTGGTCATGGTCTGATTCCCAAATATATCATGATGCCTTCATGGACAAACCTAAGTTCAGTGGCAGCAGAAGTAAAGGGACAGCCTCATGGAGGATCAGTTTAGAAAGAACCTCTAGTTTAAGTATATCTTTTCCTCCTTAAGGAAGTTCTTGGCTGCACTCCACATGGAGTAGGATTTTTGGATTACCCTTCAGAAGTACCTAATTGTCCTTTCTGACTACATAAGGCGCCTTAGTGTCTAACTTTGGTACTGTAAATCACCTGCTAATTTTTCAGCTTTGCACAGCCTTAGTTAAATACACAAATAGGTCCTTTGGATCACAGTGTAAGATTAGATAGGAAGTCTGTGGTAGAATATGAAACCGAGTCCAGATCTTAGTATCTGACTGAAGAATGTGGTCGGATTCATGTGTGTTTTCCCTTTGTTAGTAAATGCAACATATATAATAATTTCCTCCTACCATCCAGCATCTATGTTGTGTCTGAAGAGTTACCTGATACAACACGAAAGTAATGGGATTAATACAGTGGTGTGCTGGCACCAAAATGCATTTCCAGCAGCAATGGTTTATGTCATGTTTTTGTCATAGATTTCCTTGAGCAGGTTTCTGATTGCCCTTGGCAATCTGCTTCCTCCTTCTGCTTTCCATCTGCAAAATGATAGTTGCACTTTGTGTGCTTTGAGCAGTTTGGCATATTAACTGCCTCCTTCTATGTGTTTGACATTATGGGGTCCTAGTCTTCGTTGAGTCTTTAGTTTGCATTGCATTTGTGATAGTAATATGAGTAAAAATTTGAGTATCATTAATTCTGGAGTGTATTAGCAACATCAAAGCGTTTTCTGCAGTTTTGTTTTCTGTGATTTTAAATTTCTTGACTTTGTGGATGTACTTTAATCATGTGCAATTGTCAAAGAAGGTTTATGAACATGATGCCAAAAGTAACTTGCAGTTAGAAAGACCCCTAAATGTGAAAAAAAAAAGTATGTTGTGGGAATGCTTTGTCATAAAACAGAGTGGTTGAGGTTGGAAGGGACCTCTAGAGATCATCTAGTCCAACCCCCCTGCTCCAGCAGAGACACCCAGAGCACGTGGCACAGGGTGGCATCCAGGAGGGTTTGGAAGATCTCCAGAGAAGGAGACTCCACAGCCTCT